TAAAATTTGTGCGTTTTGGTATTTTAAGGCGTTTAGATGTTTTCGAATTAATTTATCAAGTTTAGAGGGTCAAACAATTTATTTAAAAAACAAGTCACTGTGGTTAAAGAAAAAAACAACAAAAAAACCATCAAAACGAATGATTTTAATCCCTGCAGATGTGGGGTAGTGTCGAAACCCGGCTCAGAGTATTCCTATTTTCCCCGTATCCTATGTAAAAAGCGGACGTCCGGACAGCCGTTGCCCCCCCCCCCCACGTCCATCGACATCCCTTTTTGAGAGACCCCCCCCTCCCCATCGAGCTCGGACGTACTTAATGGATGGCCCCTTAGACGTCTCAAGTCCGCCTCTGGACGCGGATCCTCGCGCCGCCCTTGACGTGCAGCGTGAGGCTAAAGATAGGCTTGATGTCGCGGACGCGGCGCGGGCCGTCCTCGGGCGTGGTCACGTGGAAGCGGCGCAGCACCGTGGCGGCGGCCGTCTTGAGGAACATCATGACGAAGCGCTGGCCGATGCAGCTGCGCGTGCCCGCGCTGAACGGGATGAAGGCGTGCGGATGCCGGCCGACCGAGTTGTGCGGCAGGAAGCGGTCCGGCTCGAACACGTCCGGGTCGGGCCAGATGTCTGGGTCTTTGTGCGTGAAGTGCGGCGACACCAGCACCACGCAGCCCTTGGGCAGGGTGGCGCCCGACGGCAGCTTCACGTCCTGCGCGGGAACCGGAATTAGAACAAACCTCCTAGGTGTTGTCGATAATATCGAACCATATCGAGAAAACGACATGTCTGAAATGGTCGACCCGATATATCGTAGTACCGAGCAACATCGATATTTCGATATTGAAATAATATTGAGCCCCCGATATATCGTGATATCGCACAGCCCTAAACAAACCCCCCGACGTCACACATGCTGCACGAAGGGGCGCTTTTATCGATATAGGGTGCGTTATCTGCAGAGCCCAGGCTCTGCTGCGCGGCGCGCTGTACGTCACTACTGAAATCAGTGTACACTCATGCGTACATATGTAGGAGTCAGAAGATTAGATGTGACTGGTGGATGTGACCAGCTGTGCACTGGATTGTGACGAAACGCGAATCCGTAAATCATTTCGCGTGTGTACAGATGTGCAAAATTCTAAATATATGCATGCATTCTTTGTGTAGAAGTATGTACAAATTTAAAAATATAACTAAAACATTAAAAAGTTGCGCATACAGCTGTACAAAAATGAGTGTTCGTTTTTAAAATTCTGCAGGTTCATGCACAACAGCACAACTAAATGTTTTCAGTCTGGGGATGCCTGGAAAACTGGCAGGAAAAATGAATGGGTGTGACCGGAAACTGACTGGGCATGACTAAAAATGACTATGGTAGCAAGTAGCGGCCTGACTGAACAAAGCTATACGCCACTCGGGCGTGCGTCACTCACACTGTCGGGCTGCCTGGCGTAGATGGGCGCGGGGGCGAAGTACCGCAGCGTCTCTTTGAAGGCGCGCTCGAGGTACTTAAGCTTTGGCAGATCGGCGACTTCGACTTCGCGCTCACGATCGCCTTCGAAGACAGCGTCCAGCTCCTGCAAGCAGATCCGGGCTCGTGTAGCGTCTCAGCACGCCTGACATCGGCGCCAGGCCCACGCATAGTGGCACGGCGTTTAGCGCGCTCGCGCTCACCTCCAGGATCTTGGCCTGCACGTCCTGCCGTATGGCGATGCAGTAGAGGAAGAACGACAGCGTGTCCGAAGTGGTGGAGTTGGCAGCGGCCACCAGGTGCTTGAGCTCCCCGGAGAGCTCGTCCTTAGTGAGGGTCTTGCCCTCCTCAGAGGACAAGAGGTGGTCCAGGAAGGCCTTCCGCTTCCCCTGCTTCCCGGAGCCCTGCGCGTCCGGCTCCCCGGCCTCCTCGGCTTGTCCTAGCGTCTCCTTGGCCTGGGCCTCCATCTTCAGGTCCAGCACTTTGGACACAAACGAGTCGCCGACGCGCACCATTTCCTGCGCAGGGAGGGGGAGACCTTTATGGACAACCGCATCGGACGCCCCCACCCGGCCCGTCGGCCTACGCACCTGGTAGTCGTCGTAGTGCTTGGAGAGCTTGAACAGCGTGTCCCAGCGGTACCAGGGCCGGATACCCCTGTGGAACATGAGGGTGACGCCGCGGTAGACGGCCTGCACCACGGCGCGCCGGTCGCTCTCGAGCCGCGACGAGTCCGCGGACAGCACGGTCTCGCACACCGTGTACGACGTGCACATGCGGGACAGCGGGGCCGCGTCGAACACCTCGCCTGTCGGTTCAGTGCGAGAATTGTGAGCAGTGCCATCGCGGAGGCATGCAGGCGCCGAGGCAAGGGACGCTGCGCGAGGAGGTACCTGAGTCGGCGAGCTCGCCCAGTTGCTCCACCAGGCGGTGCGCGTTGGCGTTGAAGCTGGGCGCGAAGCCGTGCAGCACGTCCTGCGCGAAGGACGGCGAGATGATCCGCCGGTGGCGCCGGTAGTCGGCGCCGTTCATGGTGATGAGCCCGGCGCCCAGGCACGGCTCCATGGAGCTGGCGTACATGAGCCAGGGCTTGGTCTGGAGGCGCGGGTCCGTGAACACCAGCTGCAAAAGCACCATCACCAGCCCACAACAACATTATCCTCAAGAAATTATTCTCTCGTAGAGTTACTTTTAGCGTGTTGATTCCGAGAGAATGTACGAATAAAAAATTCGCAAAGTTTAGATAAGATAACATCTGATGAGATGCTGTTTATAAAGTTTACGGAATTGGATAGTAAACAGTACACAAACAGTTTTTTTCCAGCAATATTTTAACACATGCTCCAAAATATCCGGAGACATTTTAGTTTTTTTTTCCACTTTCCCTAAAGGTGAACAACCTACACTGCACCTACCTCCAGGTCAGTGGGCCGCGACACGATCACGACGAGCACGGGGCCTAGCCACAGCTTGACGGTGGGCCCGAGGTCGGCGCGCAGGGCCACCAGCTTCTCGTACAGCTCCTCCTGGGGGCCGGCCACGGCGAGGAAGCTGCCCACGAGCGGGTAGGACGGCGGCCCGGGGATATCGCGCGTCACCCACAGCTGGTGGAGCACCTCGCGCACCGCGGCCAGGAGCCACAGGGCGGCGCGCGCCAGCACGGCGGCCACGCCGCACCACACCACCAGCTCCAGCATCCTCACGAGTGGCGGCAGCGCCGAGTAAGCCAGCAGCAGTCGCCTGGGCCAGAGATCGTCAAGGCACGCTTTCCTGACCGAGTGACAAGTTTCGCGGGAGCTTATCCCGACCGTTCGGCTCGGACCCGCTCGAGCTCAGCCCCGCCGGCTAGGACCTCGTCATCGTCCTATCCGTCTGTAGCCGCTAGCTCGAACGAGCCACACAGCCCAACTCGCCTCGCCCCGCCCATCTCCCCTCTTTGATATCAAGCTAAAGCCAAGACGAACGCGGAAGTCCAAGTCACAGCCCAGGCCCAGGGCCGATGCGCTGACTTTTGGAGGTAGATACTCATCGCTAATACCAAACCGACCCCTTTCCCAGTCTTTCCCTCCACCCAAAAGTCACCAGATGGGCTTGCTTGCTTGGGCTTTGGTTTCCACATTCATCTTGGCTTTACTTGGCACATACGACACTCACCTTCAGCGCGCGATGAGCCGAACCCGAAACGAGGTAGCCAGAGCCAGGGCCCGAAACCTCGGCTCAGCAGCAGGTTCGGGTGAGCTGCTCGTCGCTGGTAGCGGCCGCGGGTGGCTGCGGGTGAGCCTGAGCGGCGTGCGCCAGCCCGTGCGTCCACGATCTCTGTCCTGGGGCGAGCCTGGCCGAGCTCACCGGCGCATCCTCGGACACCGCGGGCCGGGCTGGGCGGGACTCCGCGGCGGCGCACCTCGTCCACTCCCACACCCACACGGGCCTTATCGCCTATCGCTCTATCTCGCGATAGGCCGGGCCGCGCTCAGCCCCTTTAGTCGCATCACCGATGACGGCCGCACGCCGTTTAAGGTTAGGCGAACAGAAGAAAAGAGAAGAAGAAACGGGCGACCAACCGGAAATCGGTCTATTTCACGGCGCCGACGACGGACGTGTCGAGGGCGGAGGACACTGAGGCACTGCGGTCTCCGCGCCGGGCCGCGCCTTGCACCGAGAGCCCTCGCCACCGAGGTCGCGAGGTCGGTTGGCACCTCTTACGTAGTGCCGAATAGACTTTTTTTTCACGATGTTTCCACACCCACTTTCAATACAAGAGTACGCCAGTGCAACATGTTGAGACGGAGAGTCAAAGGCCCACTGCACAGCACAGCGAGTGTGCGCGCGCGTCGCTCGGGATACGCACGGGGAGGAGGGGAGGGGGGAGGCGCCCCGAAATGAAGTGCTTGGGTTAAGGTGCCAGGCAGGCGATCAATGTCGAACCTGGTCGAGCGCGAGCGTTGAGCGTTTACAGAGCACTATGACCGATTAAAAAATCGACCAAACGCCAGAGTCCAACGCGAAGATGGTGATCTGAAGCTGCCTTGACAGGCGCAGAATCCAGAGCAGAGCTAAGAGTAATGGTTTAGTGTGTTGACTGGCCAAATCCATCCCCCGTCACTTCAAAAAAAAAGGGAGGAAAAATCGTGATGCATTTTTAGAATACACTTGTCCTTGCTTTTGTCCCCCTTGAGTTACCTCGCACTTTCAAACCAAACATTTTGACATTCCCTTTTGACCGACGTTTGGTCTCGCTAATAACCAAATTCTGTAAAAAAATGACAAATTCAAGCATCCACCTCAAAATTCAATATTTTAGACGATGCCCTAGGTTAGAGTGATGACGCACGATTATTATCCCCATAGTCCCTTCGTGCGTTGGTTGGATTCGCGTCTTAAAAAGTTAACTTTTCCAGGGTTACTACTTCAAATACCACAACCGATGTACCAAAAGAGAATCACTGGTAAAAAATAAGTCGCGGACAGATAGTCTTCTAATCCCCTTCCCCAGGGCGCTTCACGGAATAGTTATCAATATGGATTAGCGGAACCATCTGAAACGCCGATTAGGAGCTTTCAAGTGAAGAGTAGTAAACACTTGTGCGGGGGTGGGTCTAGAGGTCAAGTGTCCCAATACTTCGACAGGACTGGACCCATTCGGTCCCATAACATACCCCCCCCCCCATGTGGTTGATCACTCAATCATTCAATTATTCGCAACTTGAGCTCCGTAAAACGTTCACACGGACACTAGAAAAACAGAAATTGTCTACATGAGTGGAGCAGTTGCAGCGGTTGCCTTGCCTTATCTGTGCGCGTTAGCCAAAATGGGCCTTGGGTGAAGTCAATGCTGATAGAGACCAGCTGGAATTCCAGTTGCGGACAGATATTTCCTATGTTTTTATGTTGTTGTTGTTTTTTTATAAAAAAAAGCTGGCTTCAATACATACAAATAAAACACAACATAAAAACACAACATAAAACCTGCTGCTGTTCAACAGTCAACAGGTCGGTTGCGAGAGCACCAGCAGAGGCCCGGACGCCTGGAAGGCGTTTCTGTCGAAGCTATCGTTGGTGATGTCTTCGACGTACAGCGTGTTGGACAAAGATACGACGCCAGCCTCCCTCTCAGCAACGCGGTACCTGCAAATACCGCAGTGAACTTTTTGTGAGACACTCGACATGACAGCAGAGTATACCGGGGTTGGTTGGGTTCTGCATAACGTTAAGAGCTAGGGCAGCACTCACTGTTTCTTGCGCCAGACGCACGCCCCTGTGGCCACTCCGACAAGGACCAGCAACGCGACCAACGCGATGCCGGTGTACAGCGCGACGTTGCCGACGCCCGGGGGGTAGGACCCGTGCCCGGCCGTATTGGAGGTCTCGGGCATGCTGACGTTGAGACTGCCGCTCAAGCCGGAGGTCACGGACTTCTCCGCAGCGTCAGAAGATGTCGCAGGTTCAATCTCCGTTGTCGGAGGTACGTCCGTCGTGGTTGAGGGGGATTCTGTTGTCGTTGTCGTTGTCGTTGACGTGGTGGTAGTGAAAAGGCATTCGGCCTCATCAGAACCGTCTCGACAGTCCTTTAATTTATCACACCACCTGCACAACGAAAGTTGACCAAGGGCCAACGTGACGGAACGATAAACCCGAGAGACGATTGCGAAGAGATCGAGAGAAAATGAGATGGGGATGAATTCCGAGATTACTTCTCCGTGAACAAAGGGATAAAACGTCGGCTGCCGTACAAACCTGGCCATAGGGTGGCAAAACCCATCGCAGAAGAACGTGGTGTTGGTATAAGGACACGATTTGCAGTTCATCTCGTCGGAACTGTTTGGGCAGTCGAAGAAGCCGTCGCATTTGGCTTGCCTGCTGACGCTGACTCTCTCCCTCCCGACGGACTGGCCGAACCCTATACGGGTGGTGCAGGTCATCGACGAATCCTTGGCCGGAGTTGGGCAGGAAAGCTCGTCGCTACCGTCTTTGCAGTCCTGCGCCAGGGTGACACACAACATCTCTTTCATCAATCTGCGCCGATATCAAAAGATGATATCATCTCCCCATATGGTGGCGGGCTCGCCTACCCTCGCCAAGGGGCCTCAGAGATCATCCAGAAAGAACGCCTTGTCGTTCGCCGTTACGATCCTGTCAAGTCTTGCCTCAGTGCGAGCCCTCATCGCGCCTTGTAGGTAGTCAACATCTTGCCGTAGTGCATGCGTGTACTGCGGAGTGGCCTACCATGAGTCTCGCAGGCGCTGAGCTCTGGTAATTTGCTGAATGGACCTGAGAAAGACGGACGCCCTTTCTCGACGATCTCTAATGGCCTCGTGCGAGCATGCAACCCGTCCGCACGCCTACGTCCGATGCTTGTTCTTCCCAGTGCGGACAGAAAACAGAACAAACCCCCGACGGTGCACTCACCTTCCACTTGTCGCACCGACGCCAATTCTTCAAGCACCTGCCGCCGGACGCCGTCTCGCAGTAGAAGGACCCCGTCTGGCAGGCGACGCGGCACTGGGCAAGCCTCTCGTCCTCGGCCTGGATGCAGTCCGCGTTGCCGTCGCACAGGTACCTGGCGGCGAGGCAGCGCTTGTCGCCTGGGCACGACAGCCACCCCTCCGGACAGGCGCCCGGCACCAGCAGCGCATCCCGGACGGCCTGGGCCGAGGCCTGGGCCGTGTGCGGCAGCAGCGAGCAAGCGACGAACGAGACCAGCGCGGCCGCCGACAGCATGTCGTCGTGAGAGCGGACCCAGCCCAGCACAAGAGGAATATGGTCCATGGCAAGGAGCAGGGACGCTGAATCAGGCGTAGGCGTGGAAGGCCGGGCGGCGAGAGAAAAGGGGAGGAGATACCGCCCGGGTCAGAGATATCGCCAGGGTCCGAGGTGCTGACGCGAGTGCGCGTGACTTTTCCTCGCTGGAGCGCGCCATATGAGGGAATACTGTTAGGGACCGCCTGGCCATTGAAATTCTCTTTGCAACAAATTTTCTTGTCAAAGTTTTATTAAAATAAGAAAACAAACAAACAAACAAACAAACAAACAAACAAACAAACAAACAAACAAACAAACAAACAAACAAACAAACGGAAAACAAAACAATTCTGATTCGGAAAAACAATTTCGGGCCGTCTACGGTCTGTGCACAGTCGGTGTCCTTAGGGTCGAGCGACTGTACATCGGATGGTATGGCCAGCACGCGCTCACCGCTCATGCAACACACTCGGCCACTATGTGCATTTATGAACAAGTGCGGCATGGGTATCCTCCTCTACCCTCTCGGCCCACCCAAATCGCCCCTTAAATCAGCCGCCTGAGCAGAAGGTAGGCAATTTGAGCTACAAAACCCTTAAAAATTGGCACCTGCTCGCAGTGCATCGTCTCATCCGTCAGCTGGGCTTAAAACCGCGCCTGGTACCTCTCGAAAAACTAATGCACCGGAAGTTGGCTGTTTCAAAACGGAATTTAGCCTGTCTAGAGCCCTAGAATCTATTCAAAAGTGACAAAAATTACTTTCCCATGGAATTTCTTTGCCAAGTTTGTACAGTTTTTTGGTGTCATAAATCCTCTGGAGCCGGTTTTAGTATACTTCCGGTGCATTTGTTTTACGAGAGTATCGCGATTAGCGAGTGCAGTGGAATAGTCTATTGAAGGGCAGGGTCGTGTGGTCGTACGTCACTGCCTGATGCCACCGCGCATTATGCTGTTGTTCGAGGCCAAGTGCGCCTTTTGTGCGAACGCCATGTCATCCGGATCGAACCCCACCGACATCCTGACGAGAGAAATAAAACAAACGCCGTTAGGTGAAAGAACACCCCGAAAATTGTGTTCTCGGTTTTAGTACATTTTTCGTGGAGTTGATTTTGTCTGGTGCACTGCACTTGTGTTGGAAGGATTCTCTACTTCCAAACACACGCTTTGCACGCAAGAAAGCCGAGTGAACGAAAAATGTAATATATATCAAACGACACAGTTTTCGGGTGCAGAACCTGCAAGTGTGTGCATGTGTCCGTGTGCATGCCCAAGTAACAGCGATTCGTCACGGATCCAACAAAATTATGTGATTGTGGCGCCATTTTCACTCTAGTCACGGTTAAGTGTTTATTTTTTTATTTTTTAAAAATGGGTAATATTGAGGTCAAAGTTATGTCATTTACGACACTTTGAATTCACCATGACATCGACCTTTACTATAATCAATCACGTCACAGTGACGAGTGTCTCAGTGACGAACCTTTGTTAGTTGGGTGTGTCCGCGAGCAGACAGCAGCCCACCTGTACTGGCCCGGGTTAGGTCCGAGGAGGGGCGTGGCCCTGGGCCCGCCCTTTGGCGTCCACTGCCGCGGTTGCTGCTGCGGATGCTGCGGCTGCTGCGGCTGCTGCTGCTGCTGCTGCACGCGGGGTGGCCGAGGCCTGCAGGCGCGGCCGAGGCCCTGCGCCGCCCCCGTCAGGAAGGCCAGGCCGGCCACGGTGAGCAGCGCGCCGAGCGCCGTCACCAGCCACGGCAGCACGCCCAGCACCGCCAGCATCATGTGTGACTTGGCGACCTTGGACAGGCTCTCGCCCTGCAGCGTGATGCCCTGCAAGCCGCGACCATGACCATGCCGGCGAAGGCCCTACTAACTCGTCCCACCCAGTGAGAAACGGTGATACCAAAACGATATATCGGACCGAGAACTGATATCGGAAAATTGATGATTTTTGTGGTGAATCGGTCTGGACGTGGAATCAGCACTTTTCTGATAACTGATATCGTTTCGATGGAACTTTGATATCGCGTTGATTTCTATTTCTCACTGGGATTCTGGCCGGGCTAGTCCGGGGAGCTCACCTCCTCCATCCACAGGATAGGGAAGAGCCCCTCGCTGACAGAAGTCAGGTAGGTAAAGTCCTCGATTTTCTTCAAAAACATGTTCAGCTGAACTCGTTTCTTGGCTCTCAACGGGATGCCTGTCAACTAAGATAACATACAAGGTAGTTCACGACGCATCTCAACGCTCGTGAAACAGAAGCAGCAGCCAGATGCTCACCGGATCGATATCGACAATGGTCTGGTGGTCCTCCTCATTCGGAGACAAGCCCCGCGCATAATCCAGAAACACTGGGTCTCCCAGATAAAAGTGCGGGAATGTCAGTACAACGGGAGAACCTGTAAAATTCAGAAAAAGGAATGAGTTCATCACTTCAGGTTCACGTGCGATGAAAATAAAGAAGAGTAAAGGGAAAGTGTAGAGGGGGGGGGGGGCTGCTAACCGGAGCACGGGGCAAGGTCCATGGCCCCGTTCGGCAGGCAGGACTGCAGCTCCTTTTCTTCGTCCGACATCTTCGGCGATCTGCGTCGTCGCCTCGAATCCTGATAACAAATGTCGGTTACGTCACCCGCACTCGAGTACCTCACGGATTACTCTGAGGTGGCTGGCTATATCCCCACCTCATCATCCCCGTCGGTCTGCTCCTGCGGGGGGATGACGCAGAAGCATCTGTTGGGCGGATAGTCCCGCCCGCTGGCCAGCATGTTGGCGTCGATGACGTAGCGCCGCAGCTGGACGCCGCCCAGCTGCGTGTCGTTCTGGTAGAGCAGGTAGAGCGAGCGGCACGACGCGGCCGTGTAGATCGGCAGCACGGTCACGTCGTGCAGGAAGGGGCCGAACACCGTGCCGTCGGTGCCGTTGACCAGGTTGCACGGCGACCCCGGGCGCCAGTTGCTGAGCGTGGCGTTGCCCCTCACCGCCGTGATCTTGCCGACCGAGCGGGGGTCCACCTCCCCGCGACTCACGCGCATCCGCTCGTTGGAGGTGCCGTTCAGCTGCATCGACGGAGAGAGCAGAGAATCAAGTCGGGGGCCTCGGTGCGGCAGCGGTGGGGAGAGTCGCACACCCGCCAGAGCTCACGTGGCCGAACATGGAGAAGTAGAAGTCCGAGCCCTCCCGGCGGTACGAGGCCGGCGCCCGCGCCCGCAGCCCCTCGCACACGGCGCCGGCCGGGAAAGAGTTGGCGGGGTACGAGCAGTTGACGAACACGCCGTCGAAGAGCAGCTCCCCCACCGAGGTCGTCAGAAAGATGGATTTGGTCTTCTGGAAGAGCAGCGACACCGCGTCGTTAAAGATGCCGAGCCCTATGGAGGACACCTGCTGCAGCTTGAGAGCCGTCCCCTGGGGATGACCAGAACATCGAGCTTAGCAACAACTACCGCTTTCTTTACCGAGTAATGTGTGAGTCACTCGTTACTCACCAGGATGGGAACGTGAATGATAGTGACGATATCGTTGGGTGTCCGGCAGCCGGACTTGTCCTTGTTGAAGTGGTAGGTGCTCTTGCTGAAGTACGAGAGCGTGTCGTCCTCGTTGTGGAGTTTGACGTCCACCCGCTCCCGGTACAAGCTTCGTCAAGTCAGGGTGAAAACTCAGTCCTGCGCGCCCTGCCCCACGCCCTCAACCCCATCGCGCCAGCGCTCTGTACTCACTCGTAGATGTACGGCCCCTTCTCGGTGAGCACGGGCCGCGCCCCCTGGGTGCTCACCTCCTCGGGGTTCTCGACGTGGAACAGATACACCATGAGGTGCAGCGGCTGCGGCGTTTGGCGGAAACGGCCGAGCGCCTCCGAGTCCTTCTTCAGGGCCACCTTCTGCGGGGGCAGCAGGTGGGGTGCGCGTGAGACCCGAGAAGACTCGGGGTGCTCGTTAAATGAGTGCAGGTGTACCCCACCCTCCCCCGCCCGGCCCCGCCAGCTCTCACCTCCGAGACCAACTCCCTTTCCACCTCGGGCACGCCGTAGAAGTGCGCCAGCAGCCCGATCGTGAGCAGAAGCAGCCCGGCCGCCACCGTCCACGAGGAGTGCGTCTCTTGCATGCCCTGCAGGCAACGCAAATAGAAAGAGAGCAAGCATTAAAGCTGCATTTTGTGTCCCATATCTTAGATGCAGATAAAATCCACCGAAATCCGCCTGCAGGCGCCGAAAACGCGCGTTGTTGTAGATGGTACACGTCATGCAAATTCAATGAAGTTTCACCGAGTTTGCTACCTGGGGTGAGATTACACGCTCAAGTGCGCGACGAAAAGTACACCAGGTGCTTTTCTTTTGCTTGGCACACTTTTCGTATCCTACAAGTGTAATATAAGCGATAACACGGATGGACGTTCCTACTCAGACGCCACACCACTCGCCGAGGCCCCGGACGGGACTTGACGGGACCGAGTCTTATCGCGACACACACACTCACCGGCGTGTACGGTCCTGTATCAGCGCGGCGAGATACAGCCGCATTGGCGCACCCCAGGCGGTGTCGGACGGCGACGACGACGGCGGTGCGGTCCGGGACGACGCACCGCGCGCGGACGTCAAACCCCTCCTCTACGACCACACCCCCCTACGCGTGGACAAACGAAAGGCGCGCGCGGCCGCGGCAACGTCGAAAACACTGTGCACGTCGCTCGCCACCCCGGCCGTACCGCTCGGTGGCGGAGGGTATATACGGCAGGCAGTTCGCGGGTGAAGTGAAGTGGGGTACAGGCAAAATGGGGGTGGGGGGGAGGCTTGTTTGCCTGAGTGTCGCGTGCCCCTGGGATCACGGCAAAATCAATGAGGCAGCGGCGTCCATCCGCACGACATTTACCGCAACGCGGCTATCATCGGTGGCGCGACCTGCTGGCCCTGCCGCCGCCCCTACCTACACGTCATCGCTGATCACCACTGGTCACCGCAAGGGCGGGGGCGCGAGGCGCGTGGTGGCATTAGGGGGGGGG